AAAGGTGGACAAATTCATTCTGGCCTTACAAGATATTGTAAAAAGAAAGCCACGGCTGTCGGTTCGCTGCCACAGCCTTCAATGTCTCCAACCAACCAATTGTAGCTTTTGGATCTCAACCTGGAGGGCTGGAGATACAACCTAATAGCTGTGCTCGTTTCTAAATCATCTGTTGAGCAGGTGGTTTTCTCCCGCCCGGAGCCGTTACAGCGAATAAAGCGCGGTGCGGCAGACGACAGCTGATCATGCATAATGCGTGCCCTACCCAACGAAGCCCACTAATCGATGAGCTAGCAAGTTTATCCCTGATAGACTCCTAAGTACGACGGTATACCTCCAGATCACTAACCCATTCACTCCATCCCACATAGGCTAAACACGTTAACACTGATAATTGAAAACTTCTAGTCGGTGAATATCTTCTACTCGCAAAACAGAACTGAACGAACGAAAGCACAATATACACGACCTTTCAACTCCACTGAAACGTCGCGTCTACNGTCGTTGGTCACGCAGCTATCTAAGCACGCGGAGGAGTCCACTTCAGCTAATTCCTGACCGTCTAGTTTCAGAACAGAACTCGGCGACACCCAGCCTTGCAGTATCCCTTTGCACTATGAATTTGCAAAGCAGATGCAAAACGGAGCGACAGAACTTGCTAATCGGTCAAGTGCTCTTTGTGTATCCTCCATTGATTCAAACAAGCAAACGATGTCGCCAGCGTACTCCACATCGCACAGCTTTTCTCCAGTTGCCTATTCAATACCTACATTGTGGAGACCACTTAGTGTGAACTCAATACGTCCATGTAGTTCTGGGGCATTACTTCGAGAAGGAACGAACTCATAAGGGATTCACGATCAACTGAATCGAAGGCTTCTTTTAGGTCACGGAACACGACAACCGTTGGTCGAAGGTGCGTATGTCGTAGCTGGAGGAATTAACGCAGAGTGAAGATTTGAACGATACAACCGCGGCTAACGATACAATAATATGAACCCATGCGAATTCCACTGGACGTTTAGTGTCAGCATTTGAATTGCGGAGGACTATTTCACCTGCCTCTGTCAAGTCTTCTGATATTGTGTAAATTGGTAAACTAAAATTAGAATGGCTGAACGGGACTGATCCGCGTTCGTTTCCATAAAATAGAAAAATATACATCAATCAATGTGTGGGCGTCTGTTTGGACATGAGTCACATAGCAGACGTTTTCCTGTTTGTTTTCCTTTAAATTAGAGCGTGTGTATACATTTAGGGTTATATAGGATAAATCTTTAGCGTTCAAATATTTGTTTATTCAGCCGATTAATATCGGTCACGCTACTAATTTTAGTGGTAAATTAAACAGTGCAATATTCTTTCTGATAATTGAACATGTCATATGAGGACCAACCATGTCCTATCAGCCAACAGGAGCGTAGGAACGTGCGATATACCGTTGTTTTTTTGTAAGCACATTGGATCCAACCACATAGGCAGTATGTATAAGATGTTAGCTTCAGTTTATATGCGCACTGATTGTGAAATCCTATTTTTTTAATCACCCCACACCATAAAACATCTGTATCATTTGGTTCAAAGAGATTATACTATATATATATATTTATATATATATATGCAACTCACATTGGAAAACTGAAACTGATAGAAGTCACCGAAAAAGTTATCCTCAGCCATTCCTCCGTGAATCAATATGTGTCCACGGGGTATATGCAAACGAACCGTGTCATCGGGCGCTTCCTCTACAGGGTGCTGGTACAACAATAGGTGTCCGAAACGAACCGATGGTCCCTGTCCCGAGGTTTGTACAATCAACCAAGACTGAAGTTTCGTATCGTACATATACAACTGAAAGTGAAAATCGAACAACGAACGCTTAAGCCTATGATAGACAAAATGCCAGTCTCTTCGAACATATTTATAGTGACAAACAAGTGGAACAAACATCTGGGATATGTGGGATACGATGCCGCGGTTGTAACAATAAAACGAATGAGGTAAAATTCGTCGTGTACAGAGCAAATGAAGCGTGAACTGAAAACCTAGGAAGCATTACTGGACACTTGTCTCGACGAGGTTCGGTCTCATCCGTACAGTGCAAATCCATCGACCCAAATGAGGATCGCGAACCGGGGACCTCACACAACGAATTTCTTTTTTGAAACTGAATCAAATCCCTCCACTACGCACATGAAACAAGTGGTCAGATTGTTAATGTTTCTAGTCTAGTCATAACCCCGGAGGCTAGTGCTGAGATGAACGAGGCCCGTGGCCTGCAACAAGCTCACAAATGTGTTGTATTATATGGGGCAAATGGAAAGTGAAAAAGCATTTGATCAGCAGCGTGGTGGTCGAGCGGGTAGCGTGCTTGCATTCTACCTGTGTGAGCTCGCAGGTTCGTGATCCTCCGTTCGGTCGATGGATTCACACTGTTGATGAGACGTAACCAGGTCGAGAGAGCTAAACAGTGCTTCCAACCTTTTCAGTTCACGCTTCATATGCTAAATACACGACAAATTTCCTCTTTGAAATTGGATCAAATCCCCTATTACTAGCCTGAAATAAAATGAGTGGCAGAAGGGATGAAACCCACAACCACAATGACCTGCCATTCAATTAAAAGAACCGCCTATAGAACGTGAATAGCTACATTGCTGAACCGGTCGACGGGTATTGGCGGCTAGTTCACATTCATGAATGAATGATAAAAGAGGATGAAACAGAAAGGAAAGGCTGGGAAACACCAAACGGGTCATAAATTGAGTGCAACATGAAAAGAACTTGAAAAACGGATACAGTAACAATTTGTATTGGTCCCGTTGTACTGTCCGATCAAGGGAACAGAGAGCTACCGTTCTGGAGACGGCTCTCAGGTTAATAATGGATCCTAATCCTGTTGATAAGCAGTGCTTCTCAGGGTTTTCATTTCATGATGTGAAATCGTTCACCTCGAACTCCTACAGACTCATTTCGGTACCTACCATTCGGCGACCCGGTCAGTCGACCACGCAGTGTTCAATTAAACAAAAAACGGGTTTCCTTCGAAATATTTAGACATCGAGTCTATCTATACTCGCGGAACCCTAACCGAATTGCACAAATGGCGACTTGGATATAACCGTAAGATCTGAGATTGTTGACAATACATTAAAGCAATGGTCAGTCGCACAAGCCAAATATATGCACATCTGAGAGAACCGGGGGTACCTTAGGTAGTGCATCGTTCGGAAAATATTTGTCACATACTTGGTTATCTGACACTGGTTGACTGCCCATGGCTCCGCCAGCAAAAACCACAATTTGACCGTATTCTGTGAGGCATGCGGACCCGTGCTGCGTACGCGATTTTCCGGGGAACAAGGATGATGAACCAAGATCGCTGACGGATAATGATAAACTGTTGACAGATGGATTACTCTTTTCTGGAGATTCTTCAGATAATAACAGCCGGAATATATCACCAAGTGGGCCGGACTGGGTCGCACCGCCGAATACGAACACTTCCTGCAATGACCCGAAATAACTAGGTGTTCAGTTGTGAATCAGGTAAGCGTACCCATGAAAATTGTACTATTTATATGCAGTATCTGCAGATACTGCATTGAGAATGTCGCCTCGATTGGTGATGAAACGTTTGCAATACAATTGCCAAGTTCGGCAGTTTTGTAAACAACGGTGTTGATTGTTGTTTTCGTAGCTCGGGTAGTATAATCTGGTGTTCAGTTGTTCGCCGAGCTTGGCAGTTGTATTGCAAACGTTTCATCACCAATCGAGGTGACATTATCAATGCCGTAACTGGGTGAGCGCTTACGAGTGTCCCAAACAACAAACACGGCAAACCATCGTTCCGACTCTGACCCGAAACAAACCATTCAGTGTACTCTCAAAAGCCGAAGAAAAAGCAATCAGAACACTGAGAACCGACAAGAATATCATCATCCTCCCAGCGGACAAAGGAAGAGTGACTGTGATAATGGACAAAACAGACTACATCAGAAAGGCAATCGAATTACTCCAGGACACAACTACCTACTGCAAAATTAACACAGATCTAACTTCAAAACTCGCCAGGAAAATCAACACAACGCTGCAACGGCTGGAACAGCTGCACCAAATTAGCAAGGAAGAACACTGGAGAATGAGAGCAAACGACTCAGACACGGCTCAATTCTACGGACTACCAAAAATATACAATACAATATACAATAAGTGCCCCTACGACCAATAGTCTCGCTTCCAGGCACACCAACCTACAAACTGGCCAAAGGATT